TCCTCCCGTGTGTGACATTCATTTTTTTATAACCATGTCCAGATCATCAGAGGATTTCATTATTATGTTACACAGTTTTTTTGTGTAACAATAGCCAAGTTTCATCTCAAGATTAATCTGATAGTAGCTATTACAGAAGTTTGGTGGTCTAATTTTCTTGGGAACTAAATTATCTGGATAGAGGAGACAGTCATGAGAGGGAGGGAGGGAGGGAAGGAAATGGAGAGAGGGATGAAGGGCCACAACAGGATGTCTCTATATAGGCCTTATTTAGTTTATAGCAAAAGGGAGCATCAAATAGTACAATAGCATCACACAACCTAATTCTAGTATATGTTATTATGTAGAAGGGGAAGAAAGGAGGGAGGGAGGGAGGGAGGGAGGGAGGGAGGGAGGAAGGAAGGAAGGAAGGAAGGAAGGAAGGAAGGAAGGAAGGAAATATCTAACATAGATTACATCTAAGGTAAAGGTAAAGGTTCCCCTCGCACCTATGTGCTAGTCGTTCCCGACTCTAGGGGGCGGTGCTCCTCTCCATTTCAAAGCCGAAGAGCCAGTGCTGTCCGAAGGCGTCTCCGTGGTCATGTGGCCGGCATGACTCAATGCCAAAGGCGCATGGAACGCTCTTACCTTCCCACCAAAGGGGGTCCCTATTTTTCTACTTGCATTTTTTACCTGCTTTTGAACTGCTAGGTTGGCAGAAGCTGGGACAAGTCACGGGAGCTCCCCCCGTTACACGATAGGGATTCGAACCGCTGAACTGCTGACCCTTTCGATCGACAAGCTCAGCGTCTTAGCCACTGAGCCACCCGTGTGCCTTAGATTGCATCTAGTCCCAATGTAAACAGGTGGGTTTTCCTTTTGGCTAAATTAAGTTCAGGAGATAAAGTGTCCATTTCTATAGGTTCAAAAGACGCCATCGCTTTTTAGCCTGACTAAGGCAAACGGAGGAGCCACCGTTGAGAAATGGCTGATCTCAACCGTACGGAATGTTGGAGCAGGAACACACCAGTGCTACACACCCCATCTGTGTGATGACTACCACACTGACGGAATGAATGACGCACGTAGGTCAATCTGACCAGCTTCCGTTCTTCCACCTTTTGCAAGGACATTATATTATTATTATTATTATTATTATTATTATTATTATTATTATTATTATTATTATTATTATTATTATTATTATTATTATTATTATTATTATATTGGGTTTCCTGCCTGAGCAAGGGGTTGGACTAGAAGACCTCCAAAGTCCCTTCCAAGTCTGTTATTCTGTTAAATATTTGAGATAAATGTTGGGATGTCACAATGTATAGAAGGAATATTTGACCAGGCAATGGGGGGAAAGAAATGAGAATTCCTTCCTTCCTTCCTTCCTTCCTTCCTTCCTTCCTTCCTTCCTTCCTTCCTTCCTCACTCACTCCTTTCCTTCTCCTCTTCCTCCACTCCTTCTTTCCTTCCTTCCTTCCTTCCCCTTCCCCTTTCTGCTTCCCCTTTTATCCATCCATCCATCCATCCTCTCATATGCCACTCCATTTCCAAAAATTTAGTTTTTAACTATCAACAAGAAATGTTGCCCCTCTGAACAAAAGCAGAGAGAATATTTACAGAGTCAATTCTGCCATGGGAAAAGAAAACCCTGGCAACAGCCCCATCTCCAAACTATTGAAGGATCTTCCTTCCTCCTCCTCCTCCTCCTTTTCTTCTTCTTTCTTCATAGCTCCACTCCTGAATTCCAAAGGGTTGCATGCTAACTTAGTCATTGAATTTTGGGGCTGCCAATAAAATCTATGATGCTTGAAGAATGGAATCCAGAAGGAAAAGAAAGGAAAAGGTATTCAGCTGATCTGTAATCTTCTAAACAAAACCAGGTTTGGTTTAAAGGCAGACGAGGATGTAAGAGTAAGTAAGAATGCTGCCTTTCTACTCCGGAGGAAACACCACAGAGAGAAATCTGCGTATCCACTGGGAAAGTAATAAAGTGATTGTTTCTAAGTCATCACGATCACAATCTTGCTTGGCAGGCAGAAAGCCCGATGAAATGAAGGGAAGTAAAATAAATAGGTTTTGGAGATGCCACGTTTTCACATGTGCACATTTATAACTTGATTTGGAAAGAAAGAAAGGAAAGAAAGGAAGGAAGGGAGGGAGGGAGGGGGAAGGAAGGAAGGAAGGAAGGAAGGAAGGAAGGAAGGAAGGAAGGAAGGAAGGAAGGAAGGAAGGAAAGAAAGAAAGAAAGAATAGGATAGTTTATTTGCTCTCCATTGGACCATTTCTGGGCAGACGCCATCATGAACTCAGAATTGCATCCACAAAATTCACCTGTACCTAGATGTCGTCTTCTTCTCCATCATCGTTCTAGGCACTGTCCATCCCCTGCAGGTTGAAGAAGGCCTCTTCTGCATGTTTCCAACCTAGAAGGTCCTTTTCTTTTTATTCTGCCAGTTGGGCCTGCCATATTTGCTGATCCATCTTGTTTTGGGTCTCTTTCACGGACCTTTTTGAACAAGTGGGATCCGTTCTGCGACTGCCTTGGCCCACCTGCCCTCCCGTTCTTCTTGCTCTGTGGCCAGCCCGTTTCCATTTCCATTCTTTTGATGGCATCGTATACTTTCCTTTCTTCTCTAAAATCCATGGGCAGGTTTTCCTATCTTGCCTTGTGATGCCAGAGTGTGTACCTTTCCATGCCTCTTGGCGCCCCTTGTAGCTTTTGCAGCGATTGTGAGGTTAGGGTCCATGTTTCACCGTCATATATTAGAGAGGTAGCACACATTGATCCAAAACTTTTCCCTTCAAGGCGCAGAGGGAGGTTGTTCTTGAAAATTACGCTTCTCTGGATGCGTCTAACTTCAAAGGGGCTTCAATTTCCGTGAAAATAACGCATCGTCTCCATCACTTGTTTGCATCTTATGTACGTTGGATTTTCACCAAGAGGAGAAACAGCTCCTGTTGCTGGTTTTTTTCCCCCTTGTCATGGCACCGTAAAAGCATCCAGTGATTATTAAGTTCATCTCACCGATGGGGAAACCAAGGCCCAGTTCTCTGAGAGGTGAATCTGATATTGCAAGTCAGAAACAAATATTATAAAATATTTGGACTCTGGTTGTTTTGGGAATGGCGCTCCTGCCCTACACACATGTCCTTGGGTTTTGATGATTGGTTTTAATTTATTTATGTTTCCATTGTATGTATAGACAGATTTTTAAGACTCTAAGCTGCACAGAGTTACCCTAGGGTAAGATGGGCAACCAATAAAGTTTACAAATAATAAATAAAATGATTTTTCACTGGCATGGCAGGATGGAAGACGGTCCTTTTTAAGGTTGGTTGAGTCGGTGAAAATCACTGCAAGAATTCTGTAAGGAATGTTAAATCAAGCAACAAAAATGTAGAATCTGACCAAGAGGGAAAAAATTAGGGTTCTGTAAAAGCTGACAGCAGATTTTTCACCTTTCTGTAAAAATGGCCAGGATATTAACCTGTTTTCAAGACAAAAATCTGCTGTTTATGTTGTTATTCCATTTATTGGGCTGGTGAAACACAGGTCTTTAAATATCACAACCTGTTTGGTATCCAAAAGACGATCGGGGTTAATTCCCTATAGGAAGTTTCCTATTCGGCGGCTTCAAATGTTTTGTGCGTGAATTATACGTACGGCAAATTTAAAGGGATGTTGTGTCCCGTAAGTGAGATGATGAAAAAATAAAAAAAGATGAAATGAAATAACAAAATTAAAGTGAAATATAAAATAAAATAAAAGTGTTTGTTATCACGTCAACTGCAAAAGCAGGTGAACCTGCACCTGGTTTTCTGCCTTGCACCCAGAACTATAAAGGGGAGAGTAGAGTAAATAAGCAACTGCGTTAAGACTCTTTAAAGGCCTTCACTTTACTATCATGTAGGATTATCCTCATTACAATCCACTAATAGAATTTCCAATGAAGGAGAATATCTGTAGGTTCACATTTGAATTGTGGGGTCCTTGATGCTCTCTGAGCTTGGCGGGTTTCTTGCAGACGTTTTAAGACCCAACTAGGTAACATCATCAATGCTCACTATCAGAGCATGGAAGACGTCCCCTACTTGGGTCATGAAACGTCTGCAAGAAAACCACCAAGCTCAGGACCCCCCATTAATAGAATTCCTCTGCCTGTTTCCACACCTGCCCCCCCCTTTTTTTTTTGCAATGCGTCTAACCAAGTTAGTTGCTCACCATTTCAACCAACTCCTTCAATTCCCCCTGATTTGATTCCGACTAAACAGGGCTTGCCGTATTAATTTGCAAAAGAGGCTATTTCTTTTTCTTTTCTTTTTTTCCCCCCTGTTCCAACATCCTTGCCGGACATCCAAAGACGAAGGAAGAAATGGAGTTAAATACGAAATACTAAAGATTCCGGATATTTGACGGCATCTTTTCAAAGGCTGGTTCGGATCTGTTGACTCTTCTCCCCAATTCTGAATCACAAGCAAACCCCCCACCCACCCCCAAAAAAGTTCCCCCCCCCCCCCAAAGCCTATGGAGATTCTCAGTCATCCATCAGGTCCTGGTTGTCCCAAATGGTTTTTTTTTTCCCAAGAGGCAACTGGACTTTCTGGTTTTTCTTCGAAGACCTTTTGCTCCTCATCCGAGAAGCTTCTTCAGCTTCTTCAGAAAGTCCAGTTGCCTCTTGGAAAAGCACCTTTGGGGCTCCCTCCTCCAAAGACTTCCCTCCACGCTCAATGCCCCCGAAGCCTGTGATTCCCAGAGGGTGTCCGGCGCTGGACAGCGGAGCAATCCGAGCGAGGAAACCCCCAGGACTTAAGCCCCTTCAGGGGAAGCCGGCTCTTGCGCAGCGCAGGGGACCCTCCCCTCCGAGCCTCTGGGAGGGGGCAGGCTCCCCAAGGGGCCCCTAGGCAAGAGCCCTTCCCTCCCCTAGGAGACCTCCCCGTCTCTTCCGCGCCTGGTTGTACCCCTTTCCTTTCCTCTCCTCTCCCCGGGACGCGCCTTCCGACGCGCTCACCTTCCCGCCGCGCGTCTCCTCCTCCTCCGCCTCCGCCTCCTTCGCTGCCGCTGCTGCCCCCGGAGGGGTCGAAAGCCCCCTTGCCGCCTTCCCGAGCCTCGGAGCCGGCGTCCTGGGGCGTCCCGTTCATGCCGACGGCCGCTTCCTCCAGATCCAAGAGGTGACTGACGCTGAAGTTCTTGCGCGCCTGAGGGTTGTCTGCAGGCTCCAAGATCCGGACCGGGTTGGGGGCGAATTGCTTGTCCATGCCGTAGGCGGCCACCGCTTCCATCGCGCCCGGATCCAGCTTGTGGGGCAGAAGAGAAGAGCCCCGCCCGGCCAGGAGCTGCGAGCCGGCGAGCCTCCCTCGGCTCCCCCCCCCGGAAAAAAAACTTTTTCTTCTACTTTGATTTCCACACACGCGCGCGCCCTGCCTTCCTCCTCCTCCTCCACCTACGCCTTCCTGGTGGGGTGGGCGCGCGCGCACGTGTCTGTTTGCGTGGGTCTGCTTCTGAGGGTGCGTGGGAGTCTTTAGTATATTCACTGTCTCTCTTCTTTCTTTCTTTCTCTTCCTTCCTCTCTTCTTTCACTCTTTCTTTCTCTTCCTTCCTCTCTTCTTTCACTCTTTCTTTCTCTGCGTCTTCTCTTCCTCTTCCTTCCTCTTTCTGCTTTCTTCTTCTTCTCTCTCTCTGTTCTTCTCTCCCTCTTTTTCTCTCTGCGTGTTTTTCTTGCTCTCTTCCTCTCTTTTCTCTCTCTCCTTCTGTCTATCTTTCTTTCTCTTCCTTCCTCTCTTCTTTCACTCTTTCTTTCTCTGCGTCTTCTCTTCCTCTTTCTTTCTCTCTTCCTCTCTTTCTTCCTCTTTCTTCTGTCTCTCTGTCCTTCTCTCCCTCTTTCACTCTTTCTCTCTGTGTGTCTTTCTTGCTCTCTTCCTCTCTCTCTTTTCTCTCTCTCCTGTGTCTTTTTCTTTCTTTCTTTCTTTCTCTCTCCCTCTCTCTCTCCCTCACTCTCTCTCTCTCTCTTTCTCTCTCCGGGTCTCTCCCGTGTAGCTTGTGAACCAGCGAGAGAAACAAACGTCTCCAAACTTTTTACTAGGGGTCTATCCGTCGCCGCCCCCCCATCCTCCCCAGCGCACCGTCTCCGCCACTCTGGAAAACTTCCCTTCAAGTCAAAAGTTGGAACCAAACTTTTTTTCCCTCTCTATCCAGATTGAAATTGACCTGTCCCCGGCCTCTGTTTTCCCCCAGAAACCGACTGATTGAGCCTTCTTGAAGTCCATAAACGTGACAAGCCCCCCCTCTTCCTCAACTGCCCTCTCCCCCGCCTTTTGCACTCCCTCTATCTGCCCTCCTCCCCATTTCAAGCCCCCCCTCCCAATTTGGAAAGAGGAAGAGTTAAATTAGAGGAAAGCCAACCCAATTTATTGAGTTTAAAATATCATTTGGGGAGGGGCGGGCGAGGAGAGAGAAATTCCTTCTTTGCATCCTTTCCCTGGACCCCCCCGCTGGCTAGAAAAGCCTTCTGAAAGCCAATCGTGGGACATTTGAAACTTGCAAATTCACCAGAAGGAAAACAAACTAAACGAAAGAAAATATAATAAGAATAAGAATAATAACCAACCCTTAGGGGCTTATATTAAATTGTCGCCCCCGCGGGGGTGTTAAAATAAGGCAATGTTTGTTTCCCTAAATGTGTCACCTTTCAAGGGCGGAGTTATGCCGATGAAGGAGGCAAGCTTATCCAATTAGGACCCGCTGTCTTTCAATGCAACTTTTAAAACTTTCCTACTATATAAAAAGTCCCCTTTGATATTTTTCAAAAAAATAAATAAATAAGTGCCTCTTTGTGTCCTGCTGTTTTTAGGACAAAGGTGCGGCTGTGGTTTTTTGGATTCCTTCTGGATTGAATTTTTAAAAATTTTCCAGTCAACCCAACGGCTCTAAGATCTCCTGGTGGCCTCTTATCCATATAGGACAAAAGCAAATAGTTGAAATCAGAATGTCAACGAATTCTTTCTCCATCTGGTTCTCAAAAATGTCCATGAAATACACTTAAGAACAGAAGCATTCATCGTTTGCCTATTTTCCTTTCCATCTCTGAAAGATAAGTAAACAAAAATCAAAACTTTTGGGGGAAACTTATTGTAGTCCTCAACTTACAACTATTCGCTTAGTGACTATTTGAAGTTACAACAGCACTAAAAAAAGTGACTTATGACCATTTTAAACGGTCACTAAACAAATGGTTATAAGTCAAGGACTACCTGTAGTAGAAAATTCAGGGAAATGTTCAGAGAAAAAGTGGCTAAATTTTCTTGTCCTTTTTTTTCCTACAAGAAAAAGGCTGGAAGAATTTCATGGGGAGGTGAGTTCTGAAGGTTCCGAAGCCATTGCTTTAAAAAAATGCCTTCCCATCAGCCTAATAATGAGAGAGAAAAAGCAGGACTTCAATAGATAATAGTGAAGTCTAAAATCAACAGGACCAAGAAACTGAGTTTCTTCTAGCTTTTTGGTTCAAATGCTCCTCAATCTGTTACCCTTTGATTTTAGGGCCACCCTGGAAAAGGAGCACCTGGCTCTTAACCAACATCATAACCGTGTCTTGAGAAGGTCCCAAGAGACAACGTGGATTGTCTTGAGGAGAGGTCCAAAAAGGACAGCGCTGAGGAAAGGTGGAAGTTCTCCAGAACTATGCTCCAGGAGGTCAGGGGCCAGGCAGAAATAAAACAGGCAGAGAGACCAGAGGTCTCTCCCCTGAGGGCTAGCTCAGGATCTGCCCATACGTGACCTCTGACACCAGAGTCGAAATTCAACTTTTGTGTGGGGTAGACAAGCTACAGCATCAGGAAAGCTTGAGTTGAGGAACTGCAGTTGAGAAGTTCTTGATACACCTCAAATCTCTTGGTAGGACTAAGAGAGATGGCAGATCTCTCAGTTTACCTCAGAAGATGACAATGGCAAAAGACGTTGGTTCTGATGTGAAAAGAGTCAACTCAACTTTATGATATGTGTTGAAGGTCTTCTCCTCCTCCTCCTTTTTCCTCTCCTCTCTTCTCCTCTCTTCTTCTCCTGACCCTCTTCTTCCTCACCTCTTCTGGCACAGCAAGTAAACATGGCAACTCTCCATTCTTCAATAAACCATGGATTAAACAATGAATGCCCCCTGCCTACGCTGGTGGAGAATTGTGGAAGTTGTCGTCCATGTTGCCCTTCATAGATGTTGGGTTTATTCCGGGTGGGCAGATGATGGTTCCAGAAAGAAAGCAAGAAGGGGTAAAGAGGTTTGATCCCTTCCAGGATTCTGGCTAAGATTCTTTCAAACTGCTGACAATCAGCTTCCTGGCGCAGACATATTTTATTTTTATTGGAAGACTTGAAAACACATGACTCTATTACATTTTTTTTAAAGAAAAGTTTTCCAGTGGAGAAGATGGCCAACTTGGCTGATAATAATTCCACCAACGTCCAACTTCGTTACAGTACTATATTTTAAAAACCTAACACTGTTGTGGCTTTGATATTTTTCTCCTTCTCTTCTTCTTCACCTTTCCTTCCTCCTCTTTCTCTTTCTCTTGATAATTGGCCCAAAGTCACCCAGCCAGCTTTCATGCCAAAGGCAGAACCAGAACTCACCATCTCCTGGTGATTGGCTTAAAGTCACCTGGCTGGCTCTCCTCCCTAAGGTTGGACTAGAATTCACTATCTCCGGGTGTGTTTGGCCCAAAATGTCCCAGCTGGCTTTTGTGCCTAAGGAGAGACTAGAACTCAGTTTCTCCCAGTGGTCGGCCCAAAGTCATCTAGATTGTTTTCATGCCCAAGGCCGGACTAGAACTCCCATTCTCCCAGTTTCTAGCCGGCTGTCTTAACTGCTAGAATGATGCTCCTTTAGAATTCCTCTCTTCTTTCTGTTTCTTTGCCAGAAGAAGGCAGCCTGGGATGGGAGGCCAGCCAAGGTTGGGAGGGGGGGGGAGAGTCCCCCCCCCCAACACATCTGAGTAGCTGCTCAGGGCGTTAAATAATGATGTGGAGAGCATAATCAAGTCTTGAGCCTCCCTGCGGATCCTCCAGTCCGATGATTGCTGGTATTTGGAAAGTGAAATACGAGCGTTTCATTTTTTATGATCAAAGGAAAACTGAGTTCTAAAGCAAAAAAGGAGGGAGGATTTGGTTGGGGGGGGGGAATTGAGAGGGGGAGGGAGAATTAGGGGTTGCTGATTTGGGAGGGGGAGGCCGAAAGTTTTCTTGGCAGGCGGCTAAAGTTTCTTTAGACACGCCAAGACGTATGCGCTCTGCGGCAAGGGGACCCCCAGAATTACCCCTGGACCTTTCGCACAGCTGGAACAGTAAGTCATTGAGAAAATTTTGGAGGTTGGAAAGAGGAAGAGGGCAGGGGGTGGGGGGGTGCAGATTGGGAATCTCACAAAGCCCTTACACACACACACACACACACACACGGAAAGAGAGAGAGAGAGAGAGAGAGAGAGAGAGAGAGAGAGAGAGAGAGAGAGAGAGAGAGAGACGCACCCCTCCCACTTCCCTGCCCTGCAGGTCAAGGTGGTGATTTGCAAAGTCAAATAAATAAATTAAACAAGCCGCATTAATGCCATTTCCTCCCTCGTTCGGGTACTTAAAGGCACTGCGCAGGACCCCGGTGGGTGGGAGGCGGGGAGGGCCTGTTCGTCTCTCCAGCTTCAATCCTTTAGATAGGATTAAATGCATTTAGTCCCTGTCTGTTTCTTTTTAAGAGGTCCCAGTTATAAGGATGAGTGTGCCAGGCCGGGGATTGGGGGGACAGAGGGGGGGGCAATCTGTCTGTTCACAATTAAAGAGAATCAGGTGCTTTTATCTCTGTTTGTCAGTTTCCTTCGATGGCTGAAGGAAAGTATCAGTTTTCCATCAGTAAATTTGCAGACAAGGAATAAGGAGCTGTTAACAAGCTTATCAGTCTTACACTGAAACATATTCATCTAACCCTAACCCTATTTCTCTCTCTCTCTCTCTCTCTCTCCCCTATCTATCTCTATCTAATTATCTAGTTATCTATTATATCTCTCTGTCTCTCTATCCATCATCTATCTATCTATCTATCTATCTATCTATCTATCTATCTATCTATCTATCTATCTATATCTCTCTCCCTATCTAAATCTATATCTATATCCATCATCTATCTATCTCTATATCTCTCTATCTAGATAGATATTTCTATCTATTTATCTATTATATATATCGCTCTCTCTCCCTATCTCAATCTATTTATCTATTTATCTATCTATTATCTCTATCTATTATCCATCATCTATCTATCTATCTATCTATCTATCTATCTATCTCTATCTATCTATCTATCTCTCCCTATCTATCTCTATTTATCTATCTTATATCTTATCTATCTATCTATCATCTATCTATCACTATCTATCGAGATCTATCTCTATCTCTATCTCTCTATTTATCTATTCTATCTATCTATCTATCTATCTATCTATCTATCTATCTATCTATCTCACTCTCATCTATCATCAGTATTTCTATATTTCTCCACTGACTTTGCTTGCCAGAAGCCAAAGTTTCTGTTTCTGCTGCTAAGCGAGACAGTTGTTGAGTGACTTTTGCCTCACTTTATGACCCTTCGTGCTAAACAATGGTTGTAAGTTGAGGACTACCTGTATGTTGGTCTCCTTGCAAACAAGGCTAGGAAACTGTTTCCTGGGTACCAAAAACTTGATGGACCTCTTTT